GCCGCGAGTGAAATGCGTTTTGGAGCTTTTCTCCGACGTCCTCTTGCTTATGCTGTGTCTCGGAGGCACGGGATCGACGGGGGGGGTCGAGAGTCCGGTTGAGAGAAAGAGGAGAAGGAGCAGGGACGACGAAGGGAGGCGGGGTGAAATCACACGATGGACTTTCCCGCAGGTTGCGCCCGAACTACGGCGGCCTTGTAAACTTCTTTTCATTTTATCAGATTCATGACTCTTCATGCTTCGAAAGGGAAACAAAGCTGTATTACGGTGACGAAAAATCGGTCAGTTACTGCTGTATGGTCACATTCGTGATGGTAAGAACGAGTGGAGGACGTGTTCAATTGCAGGACGGATGACGGTAAAATTTGGTGATTAAATCAAGTTTTTAGTCTCCATAAATATTTCCGTCAACACTTTGTCATTTGTACAGGGCAATTCAAGGCTTTTTAAAAAAATGCATTTCACTTCGGACTGGGCGAAAGAGCTCGAGCGAGCTCCCGACCTGCATTGATGCCAAGGCTTTCACACTTTCAATAGCTGATAGACATGGCATCCGTGTTTAACGACCTTTCCCACACAGAAAAGAAGCATTTAAGAATGCACGCTTCAAATTTCACGTCGGAAGGCGAGTGGCCCGCTATTCTTCAGAGGAGGTGGAGACGTTAGAGAGAGGGACCTAAAACATCACATACACGAATCATCACAGTCATCATCACAAGAAGGGAAATACACGGGGTACCTAAACCATCATATACACTAATCATTGCCCTCGTAGACAACGAGTCGTACTCTTGCTGGCTTGAGGCCTTGAGAACCCAGGTCCCTCTATCTCGAGGATGTGCTGTTTAACATGTGCGAAGAAGTCTCCATGAGATTCAATGCTTGATTGGAGAGTAGCACCGCAGGGATCGTTTTAAATACATCCTCGGATTGCTATGGAGTGCTCAACCTCCGCTAAGCACTAAATAACCCTAATTTTCATTCCTGTTTCTCTCACCATACGTCAACTCACGAAGCAGTGAGCTAATCATGGTTGTTCGCCTGCGATTGCAACGCTTTGGCCGGCATGACCGCCCTTTCTATCGGATTGTTGCAGCGGACAGTCGGGCCCCACGAGACGGTCGTTTCATTGAGCGGGTGAGTGCACCGATCGCACAAAACTATGAGAGTGTCTCAAGCATCGGGGATTGATTTATTCGGTAGTGACTGTCGTTTAAGACTCTTATCTAGCCCAAAGAAATACACCAGCCACCGGTCGCAACCCACGGCTCATTTTCCTGCCCTTCACGCCATGGCCCCCATTCATTCCTCTAGCTCGGTTCTTACGACCCCATTGCAAGCAAAGACGGCGTTAAAGAAGTGAGGTTGCACAGTGATCGCATCAAGTACTGGCTTTCTGTGGGAGCCCAACCCTCAGACCGAGTGGCGTGGCTCATGAGTAAGTACAATCTGCTGCCCGAGGCGCCGCTGCGACCGATGACGTTACGTCATTTACCCAGAAAAGAGAGGAAAGAGGTGGTAGAGGCGAAGAAAGCGGCAGCAGCAGCCGCCCGAGCGAAGTCTCAGGGGGCTGCGCGGCAGATGCACACAGAGAGTGGGGGCAAAAGAGACGAAGAAAAGGGGGGCGGGCTCGTAGCAGGGCCGGTGGGCATGTTGACCGGTTGGGCGGTGATGGCTCGATTGAGAGACAGCTTAAGTCTACCATGGGCGAGGAGACGCGAGCACGTGTAGATACAGTCACGAGGCTATGGCCGGAGGAGGGCACAGGGATGGGAGGGGGCTCGCGCGCATGAAGAATTAAACATTCTCAGAGGCGTTGCACGGTCGTTGGGGAATCAGACACTCTGTACATGCTTCTTTCACACCCATGGCACAGCACGTGGCTTTCTCCAGTTGTGGCGGCCTCCCATTGCATTACCGAACACGTGCTACCGCCCCCTCCCCCTTCGCCTTCTCACATTTTTGCGCGAAGCAGTGAAGTCCCCATTCCCCCCCGCACTACGCCACGCTCGCGATCGCTTCCTCTTCCTTGACCCCGGGTGAGAGGAGAGGGGCCTGTAAGCTTTCTCCCTCTCCCTCCCTTCCCCCTCTTCCTGTCCCCTCCCATTCCACTATCCGTCCCACCATGCCCTCCAGCTCTTTCCACACTCGCCCCGTCAGCACGAGGAGCAGCGCCACGAAGAGCATCAGGCTCCAGAGGCCTCCGTGGAGGGAGACGGAGGGTGGCCGCGTGATGCACGAGGAGGGCGGGGGGTGCAGGGAATCGAACGCGGAACAGGGGTCGTTTGCAAGCTGCCAACACGTGACGGGCGTGGTGGAGGGCTTGGTCAGAGGCCAGGGGGTGGGAGGCTGAGAAGCAAGAGCCGTAAAGGATGACGAAGGAAGGCCCTGGAAGGGGGCAGTCACCCGCGGGGGGGAAAGCGGCGAGGAGGGCACGCCCGGGGAGGAATGGCGGCTTTGGGAGCGCAGGACAGGAAGGAGGTGGGACTCTCCTGCTTGCACGCACATGTGCGACAAGGCCTGGGGAGACACCCCCCAGGCCCACGTCATTACGGTCAGGAGGATACAAAGCGCCGCGGCGACAACCGCCCCCCGCCCCAGCTTTAATGTGCCTGAGAGGGTCCCAGGCGTTGCCGGAGATGGAGATGAGGACGAATTTTGGGAGGGGGAAACAGGTAAAAAGGAGAGGCTTGCGAGGATGGAAACCCAGGCAAAGAGCAGGAAAAGGAGGGCGAGGACGAGGAAGCTTTGAGCGGCGTAAACTGCCCGGCCGTCCGCCCGGTTTCCTTGTGCCCACAGGGCGTAAGACTTCTGGATCACTACCTGTTCCACAGGAGTTTGATCGACGAAGTCTGTGCGGACCAGGACGGGGGATGTCGTAGGGTTTGCCGGGGTGCTCTCCATGTACAGGTTGGTTGCCACTTGTTGCGTCGAGATGCTTCTGTAGACCAAATCTCGCACCAACCCATACGTGAAATCAGTCTGCAAAGTTGCCGTATATTTTTCAGACGACGAACAGCTCACGCTGCTATTGACATTAAGTTCAGAAGGGCATGGGGCAGGCTCAGGAGGTGTAGAGTACGCGCTCTCTGATCGCACCTGACCACCTGCCCACCCCTGTCGGGTGCCCACACCCACTCCCGTGAAGAGGGAAGCCGCAAAGAGACAGACGTATAGCACGTAACGAACGCGAGCAGTCTCTATCAAAATCACAAGACTGAGCAGTGGCATACTGCATGTCGGTTTTCCAGGCCCGGAAAATCACCGTCGCGTGCGAAGCTTCCCCCAAAGCTCTCGACACGACCTGATGAAGACGAGGTGCCTGAGTGAAGGAGTAAAGGGTTTAGAAAGTTGCCTCCCACCCGCGCGCGCCTGAGGGGGGCGAGGAAAGTATTTAAAGAAATTGCGTGGTTGTAGGCCACATGGAAAGCCGCAGCCGCGCCGCGCTCCTCACGCAGGGGTTAAAGGAGTGTCCAATTTTAGCCTGGGTGGCCCATGTTAACGGCCGGTCACGCACTAGCCGTTTACCCTCCGTGGGCTTATGTCCTACTCGTACACAAGTCGGAGATATTGCAGCACATGCGCACATAGCTACCGTGGCCTGCGTTTTCGCAATACGATATGCACCATGGACTTTCAGCAGTGCTGGCATTTATTATTTACTTTTTCGCGCCAACACAATTTTTGAAACAGGCTTTTCTGAGTCCATCGCGAACTCTAGCAGTTGCGTTGTCTCCTTTCTTCAAAGAATTATTGCCTTTCCCAACACCGCCTTCATCTTCATCGCTACGCAATCAGGCAGCCCAACACAATTATGCGCTGCTTTTTATTGAAGTTGCAGAGCTAAGCAGACGGATACAGCGGTAGTCGAGTCGATTACAGGAGGCAGCACGAACAGAGGAGCGACTCATGTCGTCGCCCCCGCCGACGCCGCATAAAAGTACACGCCAGTCCTTTGGCTTTGACGATGAAGACAAAATTGAAAAGAGGCGGACAGAACCATGCCAAATCAGCAGTGGTGGAGATTCACCTTCCAATCCGCCTGAGGCTAGAGGGCGTCGCGGGACAGGCACGAGCAGCAACCATGGCGCGGCCGACTTCGCCCAGACCCGAGATGCTGAGACGCGTGCCACCTCGCTTTCCCTCGCTTCTCCTTCCCCTGCAACGTCCGTCCCACTCCCTGCCGATCCCTTGTCCTCGTCGGCGCCGTCGATGCCCGCACAGGGGCCAGGCGCCCCTCTCCCCCTCGAGTTTGGCGCCTTGACACTGGTCCCGTCACCTCCCTTGCGTGGCCCTTCGCCCTCGCCCACGCCCTCCTCAGAGCGCATGGAGCATCAAGGCAGAAGCGGGGGCCCGACTGCCCAGCTTGCTTCTCTAGTCCTCCCCGCCGACCACGACTCCCTCATCCCCCTGGCTCGAGGCTTCCTCACGCCGCCGCCGACGCCACACGGGACCACCCGGAGCCCCGCGAGCAGCATGGACCCCGCACTGGCACCAAGAAGCTCCCAGTATTCCTTTCCTCGCCCCTCTTCGGCGTCTTCCTGCGCTCGAGCACTACGGCGGCCTTGTAAACTTCTTTTCATT